TATTCTCCTTGAAGTACCACTCTACTTTAAGAGAAATACAATAGCAACAGTTCTTATAAATAATTCTAAATACATTTTTCCCCACTTTTAGATGTTTGATTCAGTAGTTATAAAAAGCCCTTATGATGTGCCGTAAGACACACGAGCATCCAGACAAGACAGAAAGCTGCTGCAAATCTACTTCTCATCACCAAATGCTGTCGCTGCACAAGTAAGTGCCTTAACGACCAATGGAAAGTAAAGGTTTCTCACAAAGGTGACTTGGCTCAACATTGTTCATCTGGTTTATTTGCATCTCCATTACATTGAGCTGAGACATGCAGTCAGAGTGTCTCCAAAAATATCTCTATGGCTTTGTTTGCTTTCTTCTTCCTCTGTAAGAGAGTAACCATATGCTAAGTTTAGTGGGTGTTTTTAGTTGTTTCCTAGTTTGGAGTTTATTTAAATTCAAAAAAATAGATTTGATTGCAAACCAGTAACAGTCAGAAATAATTCTAGTGAAGTCAGCAGAAAACAGGTACAAATTAGCATGAAAACTATAAGGAACACAGCCTCAGGTACACCAGTTTCAAGATCATATGGTACATTTATTGCCCAAGCACAGTGAACTTTTTAGATTGCCGTGGGACTTTGAATAATGTTACCAGATAATAACACTTTCTAGAAAACAGACAATTTAGACAAAACTGTACTTTTAACTCCTGATTTTATGCCTGTTCACAGACAACTCGCCTTTTTTTTATATAGAACTGCTTTGAAACATACAATAGCTTAACGATGTTTTTTAAATTAGACTTCCCAAAGTCAAAATTCATACCCCTGAAATTTTCACCACACTATTTTGTCTTTCAAAATGCTCTTCAAAACTTTTATTTGCATATGAAAACATCTATATTCATAAAGCAAATTTAAAAAAACCAACACACCCTACAAAGCTGGGCTTGTAATTTTTTTTTAAACCATGAGTCCATAGTGCAGATACTCAAACTGCGAGCAGTATAAATCAAAGCCCCTGTGAACACCTGGTGTGCATTACCTGCATATTTTTATATGATACATCACTATCTCCTAATACCCATCTCTCAGCTTACTGCTCAATTAGTGTTTCTAGTGACAAAAGAAGGTGCTTTTTTTCCTTCCTGACATCTTTAGAAACCGAAGAACACAACTAACGATTTGCTGGCCAGGGAATTAAGAATCAGACAGGCTCATACCACACCCGCCTGATCCAGCCTGAATAGGAAGGTTAATGACTTGATGAGCGCTTGCAGACAGCCCATCGCAGTGCCACGCCAAGCCTTTGTATGAACTGCCACAAGCCAGCAAACCGTGTTCTGACCTTTGCAAAAAGCACCAGCTACGCACAGGACGGTGGACACCAAGCCCAGGAGAGAAGCCAATGAATGAACCCAAAGGCTAATCTAGGTTTACAGCGATGACAGTACACTCCTATCCTTCAGTTAATATGTCTCTGAGGCACCATGGGACCTGCCTAGGAGGTACCGCAGAGCGTCGGCCACTGCCCAGCAGCCCTCGTGGTCACTTCTGGAAGGGGGGTGGCCCAACGGTGGCTGGCTCTTGTGCCTCTGGACCGCCCTCCACCAAGCAGTGCAGCTTGCCCTTCCATTCACACAAATTAATTCAGACAACACTGTTCTTCCAGAATAACGAGGGGGCGAGCGTGAGTAGAGAGTGAGAGCTCTCTTGGCATCCAATTCAAATCTGTGAACAGCTTCTCACAAGGGACTATTTTTAAATTTCATATCAATCTGCTTGAGAAAGGTTCCTTCTGCTGCCTACAAAATGTGCAAACTCCCCTTTTGAAGAGCCACAGCTCAGGACAGCAAGATCCAGCCCTGCACTTGCAACCTAATCAAGACTCAGTATTTCATGACCAAAGCATTGCACAACCACACAACACTCCTGCAGAGCATGCCCTGGTGAACCCCACCTGAGCATCAGTGAAGCCCCCCCATTACCTTCAGGAGTCCTCTGTGTTCTTCACAAGCTTACAGGTAGCACACATTCACCCGTGAAACAACCCACATTGAGGCAGCATGACTGCTTCTGGAAGCATTACTGCTCTTACTACTGCAACAGAGGCAGAACCACTATATAAGACTGAGAGGGGAAAAAAAAAAAGTGAGATGCAGTAGGCATATAGATGCTGTGCATGACCTGACCAGTGAGGTGAAACCATTGTACACTGGATTATCAGAAGTTCCTGTATGAAGGCATTGTTCAGGCTTAAGAGGTCTGTGAGAAAAAAAACAAGGAACAGCACTACACAATGGATGCAGATAAGCAACCTCTGAACAAAGTCCTGGGCAACTGCAAGACAACGGGAAAACTTATTAGCTGCAAGCATCCTATATCCTGTCTCCAATAAAGCAACACACATGTTCTGCTAATGCAGGGTGTGAAAAGATGAAAGGAGCACTATGCAGCTATCGAGCCATCCACAGGAGAGAGGGTCAGTGTTCAACAGCTGCCGGAGGGAAACAGCGGCTGAGCGCACAAAGATGTCCACAGGTTGGGCAAGAAAAGCCTCTTTTTAACAGGTCTAAGAATGTAACATCTCTCTAGTCACCAGTAAGGGAGGCCACCGTTATGACCACAAGCCCCTCAATACCATTGCAAACAGGGCTTTGCAAGCCCAGCTCCAGCCCAAGAACAGAAAGACCATTGTTCTAGAGTTTAGTCACCAGGGCGGTTATCTCCACTGGGAAATGCATGGTGTACACACACACACACAGAGGCTGCAGCATTGGGGACTGCACCTCTTCATGGTACAGCAGAACTGGGGCTCTGCCCAGTGAGAACAACCAGAGCCACGGGGCTGGAGGAAGGAAGGGCTTCAAGACCCACTTCTTGTTTGAGAAGTGGGGTGCAGAATCAGCCCCACCATCAACCCTTGGCCATGCGCTCTGCATAGTCTGACCTCTCCTCCCAGTGTACTTCCCAAAGGCAGGGCTGTCGGCCCTCCACGAGGCTTTCATAAGCCTGAAAAATCCGGAAAAATCTGTTCCCTGGAAAATTCAGGCCACTTAACTAGCACATACTGGGCATCTGCTACTGTGTCAAGAAGAAACTGCAACGAGAACATTAGTTAACAGCCAGCTACACAGGAAACACAGAGCTGTAGAAGATCATACTCTACTCCTTTGGCATTTTTCGCTTTCTCAACATGGTGTTCCCTATCCCATTCCCCACTGCTGAAGCGGGAGAAGTGTTCGCTTGTGCCAGCGGGTGAGATTTGAACCCCAGCTGCCCATACACTTGGTCCTGCACATCTCTCAGACCCAGCTGTGCAGAGAAGGGCCAGCACAGAGAGCCTGGGCGTGCTGCAGACACTGCACCCCAACCAGCACACATGGGGAAGTGTCACCCACCGGCTGACACTGGACTACAGTGCAAGCTCAGAGCCGAGCCAAGCTGGGTGGCTGCACAGCAGACACCTCCCCAGGATGCTGCAAACACCAGGCAAGTTCTGCAAGGGACATGGTACTACCCTACATGGTATGACAGCACTCCTTTCAGTTCACAAATAAATGCTATAAAATGTAAACATATTAATCTCTTCATTCAAAGTATCTGCACGGCCACTGGCTACAATTCAAAAGTTTCAAGGGCACAAAGAACACGACTTTTTTTTCCCCTCCGATAAAAATATTTTTGTCTCTCACTGTCAGCAAACCAGCAATGTAAATGAACATTTGAAAGTCACTGTATAACTAAAAGTCATTGCATTAAAAAGAGCAAAACCGAATGCAAATAGGAAGCTTGAACTTCTTGGTAAAATGGAACAGAAGTGAAAGTATGAAGAAACCACAAACAGTAATAAAATGGGTAAACCCGTGTTAGACCGGATGGAGCCCTGGTCTGAACCTGTGCATACATAATTCCACCAGTTCTGTTACTCATTATGTTCATAAAAATAAACCCAAATCTTTTCAAGCAACAGTTGAAGTTCAAGGGAAGACTTTTAAGCTTGTAAAATTTACCAGATTCCTTCTAGAAATTCAAACAGGTTAATTACTCTGATCAAAACATTAAACACAATGTCAAGAGTTCTCAAAAGCAATCAGTTATCCATATTGTCTCAGGGTTTTTACCATCTTATTTAAAACACCTTTGAGCCACACTTTTGGGAAAAAGAAAAAAAGAAGTGGATGTTTCCTTTCCTGAGAACTGCGGTGAAGCGACCCCAAACAGAGATGCCCATCTCCCCTTCTGCCCCTTCCCCGTCCCGACTCAGACCCCGGGTATTTGGTAAATTTTTAAAGTCACCCCTAGAGATCCAACAGCAACAAGCAACCAAGAGCCATCTACTGCCTGCAAAATCGACTCTGCAAAGATAAGCACTAGCGAGAAGGCTCAGCTGTAACTCGGACAGGCCTAGCAGAGCCATCATATTTGCCTGTCCCTTGTGGAAAGCATTCTCCCAACGCCCGTTTTTCTGAGAGCACTGCTCTCCAAATATTTTGGCTGTTCCTCATCTACAGGACGGCGTTAGAGTGCATCTGCAACTCTGTCTCCAGGAAATACACATAAAGCTGATTCATTATCTTAAAATGCTGCTTTCACATCTGCTCATTAAAAGCACATTTCAGATCCCTGCGCCGAATCCACAGCCGATGTGCTCTGGACACAAAGCACTGGGTTTCAGTTCTCTACTTTTCTCATTTCAGTTACATTTGCTGCCCACAACGTGCATTCTCCATTTCGAGGACAGCTATATCAGACCTGAGCTACCATCGGAAAACGCTCTGGATAAAATCCTCTCTCTCCCTGCGATGCCTGGCATTCCAGGCAACTGCACTTGATGTCAGACCCAACCTAGATTTCAGGAGCTACATCCTGCACCAGCAGCATCCTCCCTGCAGAAACAGAGCAATAAACAGTTGTTCTGCACATCCCATACCCCAGCACACCGAGCCATTCGGAAGAGAGAGAAAAGCAAGTGAGCTTAGGTAATGCACGCGTTAGACAGTCCTCACCTTTAGGGAGTCAAAGCAGGCAATAACTCGACCATTTTCCACATGGCAACTCCGTGACGGATGGGCGAACTTGCACTCTGCATCAGACCGAGAACAAGTACCTCTCTGAAACTCTCGACACACTTCTAACGTCAGCCATTTTGTATCACGAACAAGGGAAACGTTTACAGCCATATTAAAAAAAACAAAAATTAAAATGCAAGCAATCGCACCCTTCTTCAGGGCAATATTTACTGCTGATCTTTTTTTTTCTTCTTTTTTTTTTAAAAAAAGGGTAAAAAAGTGAATTCAAGTTAAACGTGAAGAAATAACTAACTTGTTGCTTTGGTAGAACTCCTATTCATCAGCACTTAGGTTTTCATTTAAGTCAAATCGTGTTTGTTTAAACAAGAATTAAACATAAAGCCAATCATAAAATAGAAATCTTATCAGAACAACTGAAAATCAAATTAGAGGCCAGCTCCTAAAAGTGCAATTGTAGAAGTTAAAATATAAGTGTTATATTTTGTGCCACTGCCGAAGTTACTTGCAAATAACTGGCAGACTTTCAAAAGAATTCTGTGCTCTCCAGTTAATGGTTTCAATTATTCTTGCAAAAAGCATATGCTGCTGGCAGCACTTCAGTTTGTGGAATGGTCTCGGTCCTTGGGGAGAAAACTTCGGGGTTTTTTTTTTCCTTCTAGTTCTTGCTTCTAAAAATTACGGTTCGCGAGCATCAAAACGAGCAAAAGGACGTCTGATTTTTTTTTCCTCTTTCTTTTCTTTTAAATAATTGCTACATACTCGGGGGAAGGAAAAAAAAAATAAAATGGCTGAGCAAACTGCGTGTAAATGGGGAGGGAAAGAAAAAAAAAAAAGGGCAAGGCTGGAGGAGTTGCCGTCAGGGCACGAACCGCAAGCAACGCCGAATTAAAAAGAGAGGGGGGCGAGGGGCAGAGAGAGGCAGCCCTAGACAGAAATCCAAGCAGCGGTGGCTTCAGGAAAGGCACTTTTCAGCAACCTGCAGGAAAAAGAGAAATAGAATCAGCCACGAGCCGACGGTCGCCCCCGCTCAGGCGGGCGCG